AAGTGGCAAATTACATATAGGCTATTTGCTTTGTATTCAATGTCTTCCACATAAAAATAAATAAAATCTGAGAATGAATAGAGGTCATGGGGGAAGGATGCTCTCAGGATAAGGCAATATGCCTACCACATGGCCTACTGTCAGTCCCACCCACCAGGTCTGAACACAGGTTCTCTTCTTGGAAGTCAATTTAGGTTCTGATTCCTTATTAACTAGACAATCCCATTTCTACAGGGTTTATACTTGTGATTCCCACAGTCTTCTACCAATTCTCTGATCTCAGGAACAAGATTACATGGAATGGGGTAGAGAGGAAGATAAAGAATCCTAAAACTTAACAACCCACAGAGGTCAGTCTCCCTTGTTTAAAGATCAAGGGCCCAAAGCCAAACTCAATCTGGGGTGTGGGTGTAAGGAGTGAGTTGCTAACCAAGATACAAACTACCTCTAAAAACAGCTGGGAAGGGGGCCTGGATGGCTCGGTCACTTAAGCATCTGACTTCAGCTCAGGTCATGATCTCATGGTTCGTGAGTTCGAGCCCCACACTGGGCTCTCTGCTCTTAGTGTAGAGCTCGCTTTGGATCTTCTGTCTCCCTCTCTCTCTCTGCCTTTACCTCACTCATGCTCGCTTGCTCTCTCTCTGTCAAAAGTAAACATTAAAAAAATAATAAAGTTAAGCTCTTCTTAAAAAAATAAATAAAATTAAAACTCTAAACAGATTCAGATTTTAGTGAGCTTTTGGGTCATTTACTTCTTTCCTATAAAGAAGGAGTAAGACTGATAGCCTAGCCATTTTGAAAGAATAACTTTTCAAAAATTAAAGTCTTCTCCTAGATCACTCCGTTATCGTCCAGAAAAATGACTTTATTTTTGCTGTAACTGTTATTGACCTTAAATGGTGGGTGCATAACTATCACATGGTTGACAGGAAGCTCTTTTTAAAATTTATATTTCATTTCTCTATTCCATTTATTTTAAGTTTGTTTATGCACTATAATTACTTTAAGTTTTACAATAATTTAGCAATAGAATGATTTTAATAGCTTATCAGAGACTGAAATCTTTGCTGCCAGTGACTGCACACTGTACCATATGCTTTTAACATGGTGCAGTGAATGATAACCTTTTTAGACTTAGAGAGTAAGAGCTTTTCTTCACTTATTCCCACTGTTCCAACTAGAGTGGTCTGTCTTTTCACTGTCTGACTTTCTTTGCCATTCTAGGAATCTACTGCTTTCGGTGTCCGGCACTGCCTGAAACTGTCACCATTACTCAGGTTCTTTCTTCTTTCCCCTTCCTCCTCTATTTTTCAGGTCATTGCTTCCACTCTTGCTTTTGGTGAAATTATCAACATTTTCAGTCAACTAATCTTTCCTTCTGCATGTTAAGCAAACCAATAATGGTCATATACTGTAGTCACTGGCTCTTTCTGAGAGTGTTATTTCCAGTTGCTCTGGAAATTTTTTTCCCCTAAATATCAAAGGATCTTTTGTTTTGTTTTTAGTGACTTCTGGCTCTGGAACTATTAGCAACTGTCCTGTGCTTTTAAGAAGATAGGTCTCTACAGTAGATAAGGTTTCACCCAGGATGAAAATTTTCCTCATTCTCTTGAGTCGATGATTCCTAAAAGGGCTATGTGGCACTTTAACATACGATAATTCTATTTTGAGCATTTCATGATTCCTTCTGAGTTGTATCAAATGATTAATGATGTTCCAAAATAAGGGTCAGGATTCATTTTCTTCTCTATCAGTGATGATGCTACTTCTTTTTATACATATGTATATTCCAAGTATTAATTAACTTAAACAACTACTAGTTATGCCAATTTTATATTACATCAGTCTGCAATGCTGGTTTTCAAAAAATGGAAGGCAGTATAGAGTAATGGAAAAAGCACTAAGGTAGGAATCAAGAGACCCAAGCTCTAGAAATCTAGATCGAGTAATAAAGTAATTGCCTAATACAACTCTGTGCAATTATAAAACCTAAAGAGACCTCAGAGGCTTTGTCTATAAATTCAAAAAAGAGAAGTGCTTCAAATGTTTCTTAGATTAGAAGCATTATGTAATAATAATAAATCATAATAAACAATAAGACTAGTACATGAGCACTAGTACTCATGAGTACTAGTACATGAGTAACACTGCTCCCTCAGTTCTCAAACAGGAGGAAAGACAAACATATATACTACAATGATGACAAACAGAAAAGATTTCACCATTTCTCCTCATTTACATTTTTACAAAGGGAGATTTCACATGGTAGAAATACCTTTGGCTCATTAATGAACAGATTGCATGTGCAGATCAAATATTCAACCTCAAGTCAATCATAGCAAATTTGAGGTAAACCACTACAGAGTATGCCATTTTATGGAGACATTAACTAAAGCTAATTGATGGTCTTATTAGGTGGGCAGATTAAGCCCACAGTAAGATCAAATTATCCAAAACAATAAAAACACCAATTAATTTTTCTTAAACAAAGTATTTGCCAAAATTGCTATATACTGCAAAGGTAAATAGAAATCATTAATTACTATTGCTACTGCTGCTAAAACCACTGTTAATATTACTACCATTACTTCCCTAACTTTACATAAGGTTTCTACTTGCCAGGCATGGGGCCAAGTGCTTCACAAATGTTAATTTATTTAATTCTTTATAACAACCCTATTGAAATAATCTTGTTGTTCATATGAAGAAACTGAGGTAGGGAAAGGATAAGTAACTTGTTTAAAGTCATACAGCAAGTAGCAGGTCCAGGACTCTACCACAAGGAGTACAAGCTCACTGCTATTATCCTATACTGTTTTCTCAGACTATTAGGTAATACTTCAGTACTTACAATGTACCAGACACTGTCCTAAAATGCTTCATAGGGGTGTCTGGGTGGCTCAGTCAGTTGAGCGTCTGACTTCCGCTCAGGTCATGATCTCAGTTTGTGGGTTTGAGCCCCATATCAGGCTCTGTGCTGACTGCTCAGAGCCTGGAGCGTGCTTCGGATTCTGTGTCTCTATCTGTCCCTCCCTGCTCACGCTCTCTCTCTCAAAAATAAACAAACATTAAAAAAAAAATTTTGTTTTAAATGCTTCACATGTATCAGCTCCTTTAATCTTCTTAACATGCTATGATGCAGGTTACTGTTCTTAATCTCATTTTACAGATGAGGCCCAGAATGTCATTTTTTAAAATAGTTATTTGCATATAAAACAAAGTTACCTTTTATTTACTAAAGATCACTTTTCTAATACATATCTTCAGAAAAGACTGCTCTTACTCAATTTACATTTTTCCCCCTTATTAAGTAAGTTGCCTTAAGTCTCTGCTACTTTTCCCTACACATAAATTGATACCTTTCTCACAACAGTTAACCAGTTTCATTTTAAAGTAAACTTTAAGTCTGCATTTGACAGACATACTAGACAACAATACAGAATGCCACAGTAGAGAGAATATGATACTTAAGTGTAGATTTCCACCTCTATATTTCTCCCTTACTACCCTCCACTAATTCTTTTCATGCACATAAGGGTTATGGGAAGCAAGAGCAAATCAGGTTTGTGTTCTCAACACTGCACTTCTGTCTATTTATGAGAGATGTGCTGCTAAGAACAAGACCTCTACCATGTTCCTACAGGAAATAAAAATAACACTTCAAAACACAAAATGAGGATTTTCTTTGAGTCTGTAGCCTGTAAGACTTTAATAACCATTAATTCTAAGGCCAATTTAAGAATATAAAGAACAAAAAGCATTTCAAAAAAGACTTGATGCTTTACCTCAATGTTTTCATTTTCTACCTACATTCACCATCATTATCTACCTACAAAGTTTGAAGTCATTTGCCTACTTCTCCTTCAACAACATCAGTCTATTTTTTCCAAATAACATATTTTATATGTGAAAACACAATATTACACTCTGCAAAATGGAAAAAGAACCAGTTAGAATAATGAAGTAAATAATGTGAACATCTACTAATATTCTGATAAATAAGCAATGACACAAAAGGACATACAGGAAAAAATATGAATCAAACTATCAGGTTGGTGATCATTTGGTTGGTAACCATTTGGTAACTAACGATGAATCTATATATCAACTGGCTCTCCAAAAATGGGAGAAGTATGATTCCTAGCATTACTGAGTCTTTTCATACTGAAGAAAAACCATTCTTTGTTTTACATAAGACTCTAGGGGTGCCTGGGTGGCTCTGTCAGTTAAGCATCTAACTCTTGACTTTGGCTCAGGTCATGATCTCATAGTTCATGAGATTGAGTCCACTGACAGTATGGAGCCTGCTTGGGATTCTCTCTCCCTCTCTCTCCACCTCTCCCTCACTCGCGTGTGATCTCTCTCAAAATAAACAATCAAAATACACACATACATACATAAAGACTCTAGAATTTTCACTGAGAATTCCTCTTTTAACTCTTTATTTGGAACAATGGCAGATTATCATTTAGAAACTGAATCTAATGTTAGTCCTGAAATTAACTTTCTTGAACAGAAAAATCAACACTTCTTACCCAAGGGTCTTCAACATTTTGATGAAAAAGGTGAACAAATGAAGGATAAGGTAAGTGATGTGGTTGAGATACCACTGGCTTAAAAGTCAGACCTTAGGTTTGATCCCAGTAAGCAAGATATTTAGGTCACCTTTAATATCAGCCTTAGGTACATCACAGGTAAAATGAATATAATACCACTTTTCTCCCAGGGATATTGTGAGCATTAAATGAGATATGTAAAATGCATATACATGCACCCATGCGTCCATTATCACCTTCCTCACAGAGTTGTTTCAAGGCAGGAAATTTATGTGGCAGTACAAGCACAGAGCTTGGTCTATAGCAAATATATCACACAGGTACTCATTTCTTTCCCCATCAAATCCTCATCTATGTAGAAGGATTTTATTACTGGCCAGGAGCCACCAAAGTCTGACAGAGTTGAAAATCCTATGAAATATTACATAGGGGGGTCATACTCACATATTTGACATATTCTTTCCACTGCTGCCACCACTGCATGGAGATGATAAACCAATTGTGTCCTGGTTGCAGACCATACCTGCTCTCTCGTTCTAACCATCCTCTGTACATACAAAAGACATTCAGTATATCAAATAGTATGAAACAGATGACCACACATCCACAAATTATCATTAGAAATTTTTACAAAGGAAAAACATGACACATATACTTGGGGGACTGCCATAGTTTAAATTAGTAAAACACTGGTAAGCCAAATTTAGGAGTCCTAAATACCATTATCAGGCTTCACACTGATGTTTTAAAAACAGCTTTACTGAGGACTAACTTACATAACACAAAATTTACCTGAATTCAGCGTACAGCTCAATGATTTTGGTAAATTTATAAACATGTGCAACCATCACCAGAATCCAATTCTAGAATATTTCAATTACCCCCAAAAGCTATCCTGTACCCACATTTAGTCAAGTTACATTACCACCCTCAGCCAGGAAACTACCAGTCTATTTTCTATCTCTTACAATTTGCCCTTTTCTGAACATTTCATATACATGGAATAATACCACACATGGTCTTTTATACCTGGCCTCTTTTCCTTACCATAATGTTTTTGAGGTTCATCTATGTTGCAGCAGATATCATTAGTTTGTGTCTTTTAATTCCATTCCAAATATTACTTAAAATCATTCCAAAGGTCTGTATACACATTTTGTTTATCTACCTAACATCTGATAATCTGAAACTGGCAATCTATTCTCCAAAGTGGCTGCACCATTTAACATTCCCATCAGTAAGGTACAATGGTTCTAGTTTTTCCACATTCTTGGTAACACTTGTTATTGCCTGTCTTTTCTATCAAACGTTCAAGTGGGTATGAAGTGGTAACACATGGTGATTTAAAAAAAAACTTTTACAGAGGAGAAATTCATAACATAAGGTGTTGGTTGCCTATTTTGAATGTACTAATGCCAGTGGACTGTTATGCTTTAAATGGTCACTTTTATGTTATGTGTATTTCTCCAAAACATTTTCATACATCCCAACTGAGTAGTGATACATTAGGCAGTTATTTCCTATTATTCCCTTCCCCCAGCCCTTGACAATCACCACTCTGTTCTCTTTATCTATTCATTTACCTATTCTGGATATTTCTTTTTTTTTTTAATTTTTTTTTTCAACGTTTATTTATTTTTGGGACAGAGAGAGACAGAGCATGAATGGGGGAGGGGCAGAGAGAGAGGGAGACACAGAATCGGAAACAGGCTCCAGGCTCTGGGCCATCAGCTCAGAGCCTGACGCGGGGCTCGAACTCACAGACCGCAAGATCGTGACCTGGCTGAAGTCGGAGGCTTAACCGACTGCGCCACCCAGGCGCCCCATGGATATTTCATATAAATAGAATCATACAATATGTGACCTCTTATATCTGGCTTTTTTCATTTGTGAGGTTCATCCATGTTGCTGCACGTAGGACTACATCATTCCTTTTTACGGCTGAATAATATTCCACAGTATGCATATACCACATTGTGTTTACCTATTCATCCACTGATGGCAACTTGGGCTGTTTCCACTTACTACTTATTGTATATAGTGTTGCTATGAACATTTGTTTACAAGTGTTTGAGTCCCTGTTTTCAACCGTTTGGGGTATATACCTAGAAGTGGAATTGCCAGGTTACATGGGATTCCATGTTGAGGAACTACCAACTTTTCCACACAGCAGCTATACCATTTTATATCTCCACCAGTGATATATCAGTGTCCCAATTTCTCCACATCCTTACAAAATTATTTTCCATTTTTTTAATTATAAACATCCTAGTAAGTGCAAAGCAGAATCATTGTAGTTTTTGAGTTGCATTTCCTTAATGACTAATGATTTTGAGTATCTTTTTACGTGCTCGATGACCATTTGTAGGTCATCTCTGGAGAAATGTGTATTCAAGTCCTTTACCCAGTTTTTAATTGAGTTTTCGTTTTGTTAGTGAGCTATAGGAGTTAATTAGTTGACCCCTGGTTAGTTGACCCCTGGCAGATCTGTGATTTACAAATATTATCTACATTTTGTTGGTTAGTTGACCCCTGGCAGATCTGTGATTTACAAATATTATCTCCATTTTGTAGGTTGTTTTGTCACTTTCTTGACAATGTCCTTTGATAAACATAAGTTAAAAAATTTTTTTTTAATACTTATTTATTTTTGAGAGAGAGAGAGAGAAAGCAGGGGAGGGAGAGAGAGAGAGAGAAAGGGAGATACAGAATCTGAAGCAGTCTCCAGGCTCTGAGCTGTCAGCACAGAGCCTGACATGGGTCATGAACTCACAAACCATGAGATCATGACCTGAGTTGAAGTCAGATGCTTAACTGACTGAGATACCCAGACGCCCCGATAAACAGTTTAAAATTTTGATGGTCAGGGGCACTTGAGTAGCTCAGTTGGTTAAGCGTCCCACTCTTGATTTCAGCTCAGGTCATGATCCCACAGTTCCTGAGTTTGAGCCCCTCAATGGGCTCTGCACTGACAGTGTAGAGCCTGTTTGGGATTCTCTCTCTGTCCTCTCTCTCTGCCCCTCCCCCCTGCTCACATGTGCACAATCCTTCTCTCTCAAAATAAACTTAAATTAAAAAAATAAAAATAAATAAATTTTGATGGTCAAATTTATCTATTTTTTCTTTGGTTGCTCATGGTTTTTATTGTCACATGTAAGAATTCAACTTAAAATCCAAATCACTTTTGAAAAAAATATTTTTCCTAGATACAGAATAAAAGTACCATTCTGCTCACTCCTGGATTCCAAGATTTCTGATGAGAAACCTGCTGTTAATCTTATTGAAGATCTACTGCATGTGGTGGATAGCTTTTCTCTTGCTACTTTAAAATTTTTCTGTCTCTGGCTTCTGATCATCTGATTAAAATGAGTCTTGGTTGGGGCGCCTGGGTGGCGCAGTTGGTTAAGCGTCCGACTTCAGCCAGGTCACGATCTCGCGGTCCGTGAGTTCGAGCCCCGCGTCAGGCTCTGGGCTGATGGCTCAGAGCCTGGAGCCTGTTTCCGATTCTGTGTCTCCCTCTCTCTCTGCCCCTCCCCCGTTCATGCTCTGTCTCTCTCTGTCCCAAAAATAAATAAACGTTGAAAAAAAAAAATTAAAAAAATAAAATGAGTCTTGGTGTAAATCACTTAACAGTGTTATCCTTCTTGGAGCTCGATGAGCTTTTCTAATGTTTAGGTTCCTATCATTTATCAAGTGTGGGGAGTTTGGACCCATTATTTCTTCAAGTATTCTGCCACTTTTTCTCTTCTCCTTCTGGGATTCCTATGTGTATGATGGTACGGTTGCTGCTATTTCAACAGGTCCACTAAACTCTGTTCATTTCCCTTAGTTCTTTTGTCTTTCTACTACTCAGTCTCAACAGCTTCAATTGACCTATCTTTAGATTTTAACTTCTCTCAAACCAGGCTTTATGGTTCTTGATATATAAAAAGAGTGTAAAAAAACATTTCTAGCTTGTAGGCTGTATAAAATCAGGTAGTGGACCAAAGTTAGCCAATGGGCCACAGTGTAATAATCCATGGCTTAACATATAGTCTGTCCTAGACAATATCATGTGTACTTGAATATGTACCCTGCTGTTGTTGGGTGGATTGTTCTGCTGCTGGGTGCATATACATTTACAACTTTATATTTTCCTGAAGAACTGCAACTTACCATTATAAAATGTCTGTGTAGTAACAATTCTTTGTCTAAAAGCCATTTTTTCCTAAATATGCATGGTTATATTTATTTCAGCATTTTACTTTGAATCTATTTGTGTCTTTGAATCTCAAGTATTTGGATTAAAAAAAATCAGTCTAGCTTTTGATAATTGTTTAATCCATTTATACTTAAAGTAATTATTGATATGGATTTGTGCCTACCATTTTGTTGTTTTCTATTTATCTCAAGTATTTTTGATTTTCTATTCCTCCTTTACTTCCTTCTTTTGTATTAGATTGTTCTGTATTAGATAGCATATCATTTTAATTATCTTTTTAAAGAAACTATATTTGGGATTATATTCTTATGGCTGCTTTAGAGTTACAAAATAAAGCTTAACACATGCTACTTCAGATTAATACTAATTTATTTCAGTAAAATATAGATGCTGTTCAAATACAGCTCTAGTTCCCATTCTCTTGGTTGTATTGTCATGCATATGACGTCTTTTTATCATGTAAGAACAACATAGCTTTCAAATTATTGTCTTATGATTTTGTATTTTAAGTCAGTCAAAAGGTGAAACAGAAATGTATTGGTATATCTTTATGTTTACTGGTGCTCTATATGTCTTTATGTAATTCAAATTATTCTCTGGGGTCACTTTGTTTTAGCATGAAGAAGTTCCTTCAATATTTTAAGTATTTTATTCCTTCAGTATTTAAGACATGTTAACTAGCAATAGTGTTTGTACGGACTGTTTTCAAATTACCTTAATTTCTGAAGGATAATTCTGCTGGATAAAGAATTCTGGGTTAACAGTTTTCCCCCTTCAACACTCTGAATGTCATCACACTGCCTACCGACCCCTATCATTTCTAAAAGAAAAAAAAAAAAAAAGGTCAGCCATTAATCTTATTGCCTTCTACAGAAGGAGTCATTTTTCTCTTCCTGCTTTTAAGATCTTCTCATTGTAACTTTGAACAGTTTGACTGTGATATGTTTAGATGTGGATCTGTTTTTAACCTGCTTGCAGTTTGTTGGGCTTCTTGGATCAGTGACTTTCAATACTTTTAGAAGATCCAGCCATTATTTTGTCAAATATTTTTTTCTGCTCCTTTCCTCCTTTTGGGACTTCCATTATGTGTGTATTGGTATACCTGTCTCTGGTGTTTCACACACCTCAGGTTCTGTTCATTTTTATTTATTCTCTCTGTTCTTCATACTGGAAAATCTCTATTGATCTATATTCTATTTTGCTGATTATTTCTCTGCAACTCTAATCGGTTGCTGAGTCCCTGTAGCGAATTTTCATTTCATTTATTGTAATTTTCAACTCCAGGATTTCCATTGAGTTCACTTTTAAAATTTTTATCTCCTTATTGATATTTTATATTTGACTAG